TTTACTATTATCATTCTGTGGTTGTAGTATGTAGTTTTACTGTTATCATTCTGTGGTTGTAGTATGTTAATGATAATAGTAAAAACTATACTACAACCACAGTGATAATAGTAAAACTACAATGATAATAGTAAAAACTACATAATACAACCACAAAAATACTACAACCACAGATAATAGTAAAACCACATACTACAACCACAGAATGATAATAGTAAAACTACTATTCTGTGGTTGTAGTATGTAGTTTTACTATTATCATTCTGTGGTTGTAGTATGTAGTTTTACTATTATTATTCTGTGGTTGTAGTATGAAGTTTTACTATTATTATTCTGTGGTTGTAGTATGAAGTTTTACTATTATCATTCTGTGGTTGTAGTATGTAGTTTTACTATTATCATTCTTATTAATTGGTGATTGTTATATTATTGTGTCTTGTTACTAAAACCTTCTAAGTTTTCCCGTTGTTTTGATTTAGTATTATTTCTTCATAATATGTAATACTGTGTGGAACGTTCTAAGCCACTGTTGGGGAATAAATACGCATCCAACATGTAGTTCGAGTCAGATAGATAGATAGATTTAGACCGCGTGATTGTGAGTTTAGCCATAAATAGTGTATAGTGGCGATTTTTAAAGTGAAATTATCCAAAAATATATTGCAATAGCAAAGTTGAAAAGAATAATTCGTCTTGTCAATTGTGTTCTAAAGTAATTGAATCAGCCTGTGTAGACTTCGACGAAAAGATGCAATTATTTAAAGCTCTGGATACATCTGTTGTAATCAACAGTTATAGTAGCGATTTTAAAGTGAAATTATCACAGACTGTATTGTAATAACAGAGCAGGAAGAATAATTCGTCTTGTCAATTGTGTTCTAAAGTAACTGAACCAGCCTGTGGGGACTTTAACGAAAAAAAAAGAGACAATTATTTAAAGCTCTGGATAGAACTGTGATAATCAACAGTCTAACGAACATTTATAAATACGTTTGACTTGTTTTAATTTATATATTTTTTTAAAACAAGTGGAAGGTATGCTGTTTGCTTATTGTTGAAATTTATCGCCAACAAGTCACAAACATCTACTGCAAAGAATCTGGCCCATAAATAAAACCTGACATTTTCATTAAAACATTACGTGAATTATATTCCATGCTCACACAAAGGAGAAATAAACCTTTGCATATAATGAAATGATCAGATGACTGGTTTTAGCGTCACAGAAGCTTCAGGCTGATATTTCAA